CTTGTGATGTAAACTTAATAATGAAGTGAGCTAACACTCTAACTATCCAGAAGGGTAACCTCATAAAGATGAACAACAAAGCCCATCTGTTTTCTTCCTCTGCCATTCTCATCTACCTACAGTTACAGATATGGTGTTACAAAGAACACGCTTTAGGGACTTCCCTGGTGGTCCAATGGCTAGCACTCCAAGCTCCCAATGCTGGGGGCCCTGGTTTCATCCCTGGTCAGAGAACTAGATCCAGCATGCTTCAACTAAGACCCAGCATGGCCAAATAAATAGATATTAAAAAAAAAAAAAAGAAGAACACATTTTAATGAGTTCACTCCAGTGATGATTCAAAAGTCCTGTTATCCAATCTCCCAGCCCTAGAGGGCAGGGGTACAGTTAGGGAAGAATTGGTCATTTTTCACTAAAACTGGAGAACACAATTTTCCATTTAAGAAGTCGCTACTTAGTACAAGGAGCTAGCTATTCACTGCAATAGTATAAAAGGAGGGATACAAAGAATATCCTCTCTCTGTAAAAATATAAAGGAGAATATGGTCAAAACATTCTCTGCCCTCTAGGACCTTACAGCAGGGCTAGGTTGCCTTGCAGGGTCTGACCTGGTCTGACCGCAAAGCTTTCACTTACGGAAGAGATAAAAATTCCAAGATACAAAAGGAGTTTTTTGTTTTTTGTGCCTTAGGAAATTGGAATCTGTATACTCCTGCAGAATCACCGGAGGAGTCCTTTGAAAAAGTGGACAGGGTTTCAGGTCCAGTTTCTTTTCCTTGGGGGACTCTTAGATGCTCTTTAAGTGCACTATTATTCTGTTCCCCATTTCACTACAGTGTCTGTCTGGATGCATATCATCTCCCCAAAGGACCCCCAAAGCCTCTGTTTCCTCCAGCCTCACAATACACCACAGCCCAGAGCAGAGCAGATCTTCCAGCATACCACATTCTGAAGCTGATTTTTTAGCAGCCCACCCCCTAAATATGCTATCCCTAGGTCTCATAGAGACCAGACTCCTAAATTTTATTACATTGAAGTAATTACACCCAAATACACTCTCCCCGCAAAAAAGTCCGAAATGAAATGCAGTACTGGGATGCAATCTCAAAAATGACAGAATGATCTCTGTTCATTTCCAAGGCAAACCATTCAGTATCACAGTAATCCAAGTCTATGCCCTGACCAGTAATGCTGAAGAAGCTGAAGTTGAACGGTTCTATGAAGACCTACAAGACCTTCTAGAACTAACACCCCCAAAAGATGTCCTTTCCATCATAGGGGACTGGAATGCAAAAGTAGGAAGTCAATAAATACCTGGAGTAACAGGCAAATTTAGCCTTGGAGTACAGAATGAAGCAGGGCAAAGGCTAATAGAGTTTTGTCAAGAGAATAAACTGGTCATAGCAAATACCCTCTTCCAAAAACACAAGACTCTACACATGGTCATCACCAGATGGTCAATACCGAAATCAGATTGATTATATTCTTTGCAGCCAAAGATGGAGAAGCTCTATACAGTCAGCAAAAACAAGACCGGGAGCTGACTGTAGCTCAGATCATGAACTCCTTATTGCCAAATTCAGACTTAAATTGAAGAAAGTAGCGAAAACCACTAGACCATTCAAGTATGACCTAAAACAAATCCCTTAAAATCATACAGTGGAAGTGAGAAATAGATTCAAGGGATTAGATCTGATAGGCAGAGTGCCTGAAGAACTATGGAAGGATGTTCATGACATTGCACAGGAGGCAGTGATCAAGGCCATCCCCAAGAAAAAGAAGTGCAAAAAGGCAAAATGGTAGTCTGAGGAGATCTTACAAATAGCTGTGAAAAGAAGAGGAGCGAAAGACAAAGGAGAAAAGGAAAGATACACCCATTTGAATGCAGAGTTCCAAAGAATAGCAAGGAGAGATAAGAAAGCCCTCCTCAGTGATCAATGCAAAGAAATAGAGGAAAATAATAGAATGGGAAAGACTAGAGATCTCTTCGAGAAAATTAGAGATACCAAGGGAACACTTCATGCAAAGATGGGCACAATAAAGGACAGAAATGGTATGGACCTAAAAGAAGCAGAAGATATTAAAAAGAGGTGGCAAGAATACATAGAAGAACTATACAAAAGAGATCTTCATGACTCAGATAATCACAATGGTGTGATCACTCACCAATTTGTCGAGCCAGACATCCTGGAATGCGAAGTCAAGTGGGCCTTAGGAAGCATCACTACAAACAAAGCTAGTGGAGGTGACAGAAATCCAGTTGAGCTATTTCAAATCCTAAAATATGATGCTGTGAAAGTGCTGCATTCAATATGTCAGAAAATTTGGAAAACTCAGTAGTGGCCATAGGACTGGAAAATGTCAGTTTTTATTCTAATCCCAAAGAAAGGCAATGTCAAAGAATGCTCAAACTACCACACAATTGCACTCATCTCACACACTAGCTAAGTAATGCTCAAAATTCCCCAAGCCAGGCTTCAACAGTATGTGAACCACAAACTTTCGGATGGTCAACCTGGATTTAGAAAAGGTAGAGGAACCAGAGATCAAATTGCCAACATCCGATGGATCATTGAAAAATCAAGAGTTCCAGAAAAACATCTAATTCTGCTTTATTGACTATGCCAATGCCTTTGACTCTGTGGATCACAACAAACTGTGGAAAATTCTTCAAGAGATGGGAATACCAGACCACCTGACCTGCCTCTTGAGAAACCTGTATGTAGGTCAAGAAGCAACAGTTAAAACTGAAGATGGAACAACAGACAGTTTCCAAATAGGAAAAGGAGTATATCAAGGCTGTATATTGTCACCCTGCTTATTTAACTTGTGTGCAGAGTACACCATGAGAAACGCTGGGCTGGATGAAGCACAAGCTGGAATCAAGATTGCCGGGAGAAATATCAATAACCTCAGATATGTGGATGACACCACCCTTACGGCAGAAAATGAAGAACTAAAGAGCCTCTTGATGAAAGTGAAAGAGGAGAGTGAAAAAGTTGGCTTAAAGCTCAACATTCAGAAAACTAAGATCATGGCATCTGGTCCCATCACTTTATGGCAAATAGATGGGGAAACAATGGAAACAGTGACAGATTTTCTTTTGGGGGGCTCCAAAATCACTGCAGATGGTGACTGCAGTCATGAAATTAAAAGATGCTTGCTCCTTGGAAGAAAAGTTATGACCAACCTGGACAGCATATTAAAAAGCAAAGACATTACTTTGCCAGCAAAGGTCCAACTAGTCACTTTGACTATGGTTTTTCCAATAGTCATGTATGAATGTGAGAGTCGGACTATAAAGAAAGCTGAGCACCAAAGAATTGATGCTTTTGAACTGTGGTGTTGGAGAAGACTCTGGAGAGTCCCTTGGAGTGCAAGGAGATCCAACCAGTCCATCCTAAAGGAAACCAGTCCTGAATATTCATTGGAAACTCCAATACTTTGGCCCATGATGTGAAGAAGTGACTCATTTGAAAAGACCCTAATGCTGGGAAAGATTGAAAGCGGGAGGAGAAGGGGACGCGACAGAGGATGAGATGGTTGGATGACATCACCGACTCAATGGACATGAGTTTGGGTAAATTCTGGGAGTTGGTGATGGACCGGGAGGCCTGATGTGCTGCAGTTCATGGGGTCGCAAGGAGTCGGACACGACTGAGCGACTGAACTGACTGACACTCTCCCCTATCCGCATTCCTCGGCTGCGGATTTTATGCTTTATTTTCAGCACTAGCTAAACACAGATGGGCTTGCCTTGTGGCTCAGCTGGTAAAGAATCCGCCTGCAATGCGGGAGACCTGGGTTCGACCTCTGGGTTGGGGAGATACCCTGGAGAAGGGAAAGGCTAACCAATCCAGTGACTTTCACTTTTACTTTTCAAACTCAGACAGTCTGAATCCCATAGGGTTCTCTGTCGTCTCCAGTTCGGTTTTATTTCAAATCCAACAGAACTGATACTTTCCAATTGTGGTCCTGGAGGAGACGCTTGAGAGTCCCTTGGACAGCAAGAAAATCAAACCAGTCAATCCTAAAGGAAATCAACCCCTAATATTCATTGGAAGGGCTGATGCTGAAGCTCCAGTACTTTGGCCACCTGATGCCAGGAGCCGAATAACTGCAAAAGACCCTGATGCTGGGAAAGATTGAGGGCACGCACGATAAGGAGGTGACAGAGGATGAGATGGTTGGGTGTCATCACCGACTCAGTGGACATTTGTTGTTGCTCAGTTGCTCAGTCGTGTCCGAGTCTTTTCTTGACCCCATGGATAGCAAGCAGTACGCAAGGCAAACTCCAGGAGACAGCGATGAACAGGGAAGCCTGGCGTGCTGCAGTTCAGGGAGTCGCCGAGTCGGACACGACCGAGCGACTGAACAACAACCTAGCTCCACAACCCTCCGCAGATTCTTTTCTTCTCTCTTGCCCGATGCACCGGGCTACGGTTGAGGAGCAGCCTCATGGATCTCGAAAGTGAACCCTGCCGGGGGTAAACTGAGCGAGTTTAAGCGTGAAACCCGCCCAGCAATTCATGGAGTCAGTACGCCCTGCGTTCCAATAGGTTCTACCCACTCTTCACGGGGTGGGGTGCTCCGCTGTAACCCAGTTGGAGCCTGAGGTGACCTCTTGTGGACCTCTTGTGGACATTCACGGACGTGCACGCGAGAGAAGCAAGCAAGAAAATCAACACACTGGAGCACTCCAAAACAAGCTTCACAGACTCAAAGAAGCTCCTCCCCGCACCTTCCGTGGAGATCCGCCTCCATCCTGAGTCTCGGTGGTTGACTTTTTTCCCCTTTGATGACTCGGCCATCGACCAGCCCGGCCTGTCGTTTCCCAGAAGGCCCAGCGCCGGGAAGGGGTTTGCAGCTGCTCCGTCATCGTGCGGCCCGACGCGAGCCCGCGGTCGTGTGCAGGCCCGGCTCGGTTCCTGGTCTCCGGTGCGAGGGTTTACGCGAGGCCCCGGCCTCGGTCCCCGGACTAGGCCGCGACCCCGGGCGCCATGAAGCAGGAGGGCTCGGCGAGGCGCCGCGGCGCGGACAAGGCAAAGCCGCCGCCCGGCGGAGGGGAACAAGAACCACCGCCGCCCCCGGCCCCCCAGGATGTGGAGATGAAGGAGGAGGCGGCGGCGAGTGGCGGATCAACCGGGGAGACCGCTGGCAAGACGGCGGCTGCGGCGGCTGAGCACTCCCAGCGAGAGCTGGACACCGTCACCTTGGAGGGTACGAGAGCTTGGGCCGGGGACGTGCCATGATCACGGGTGACAGCACCACGATGATGTAGCCTCTCCTTGGGACCCCGGCGTAGCCTTCACCACCGTGACTTGGGGGTTCCTTGGGATCACCCCCTAACTGCCTGCTCCCGCTACCCTGACACTCCGGACCGCGGCCCGGATAACTGAACAGTCCCTCTAGACTCTGGACTCCTCCCTTCTCACACACCTCCCCCCCACGGGGAATTGCATCTAGAACTAGGCCTCACTGGGCCCATAGCCTCCTCTTCTAAGTTCTCTCCTCTTACCTTATTATTCCACTTACATCTCATCAGACTGATTCTAGTGACCCCAATGCATGACTGATCTCTATAAAAACTAGTGTCTGTATTTATCTTTGAAGGGGGATAAGGATAACACCGTAGACCCCTGTGTTTTAAGAATGCTTTCTGTTGTCTTAACTACCTTTAGCAAACTCCCCTAAGAGAGCCCTTTCTGCTTAATATCTTGCTTCCTCCTTGCTCTAATTGAACTGCCCAAACGGTCCTATTTCATTTTTCTCTCACTTCAAACCCTTACCCCTGGTCTGTTTCTAAAGAGTTTAAACACATTATACACTTTCAACTTTTTAGTTGTCATTTGTTTGAGTTCCTGATACTCAACTCCCACCTAAACTATATACCAGCTCCCCCATTTCTCTTCTCCTTGGTGCCTGTTCTCAGTTTCCATCCTCCTCTTGTTCCTCCAAGTTTATATTTCACTTTTCCAACTTAGAGCATCCTGTCCATATTTGGAGTGGGTAGAGTGAAGACTCCCCACTGTGACCCTGGTGCTGTTTCCCACTTGTGGATCAAGTAGGACAGGACTATTTATTGGATTTGCTCTCTGCTTCACTGTATGAGAAACTAGCTCAAAAACATTGAAATAAGCAAAGTTATGCTCCTGGGTGGTGGTTTGAGGATATGATAGTATTGACTGCATCAGCTCCTATTCTAATACAAAGGAATATGAATACAAGGGAAACTGAGAAGCTACCAATTGATGGTGCTCCCTTATTTCTGGACATTTGTTTCCATTTTCCTCCATTATAAATAGCTTTGTAGCCATCATCTCTGCCCACCTATTTGATCTATTTCTGTAATTACTCATTCAGTATAGATCCCTGAGTTGAAAGGGTAAATGTTTTTAAGGTCTTTGGTAGATATTGTCCAGGAAAACTGTGCTGATTTACATTATGCAAACAGAAATGTCCTGGTCACCCCTGTACTCTGTATGTTATCATTTTTCAAATACTATTAGAATGGTTATTGAAAAATGTTTTCATTTGTGGTTATTTGAATACTAATGAAACATTTTTCATGTCTATTTGTCGTTCCTCTTTTCATACTGTCCATTGATACTAATTCGTATTCATTTTAATCCTTTATACAAGCTCTTTATTGAATATGCATCTCTGGCCACGTTTGTTGCAGATACTTTTCTTTTGCTACAGTTATCAGAAAGATTTTGTTTGTTTGTTTTTTCTTTTTTCTTTTCTTGAAGTTATTTAAGTCTTTTGTGTGTGTATGTGTGTGATTTCTCCCATTGTTCGCATTTGGAAAGTGTTTTCCTATTTGAAGATGTGCTAAATCTCCATGTGTTTTTGTTTCTCATTGTTTTTTTTTTTTCCTTTTTATGTCACCCTCTACTTCTTCCCCAACCCAGCTTTATTTTTCTGTGTCTCTTGGTTATGTCTTAAAATCAGCATATGGCATCCATAAGTATTGCTCAACCCTGTTAGGGCAAAAGAGGGGACTGGCCACATCCTGACATTTGTAAGAGGCTTCCTAAGACTGCTTGGCTGGAGTTGCGGAGGGGTAGGAGGAGTTGGAATTCACGTTTTTCCTCCCCTGGTCCTCCACAGACATCAAGGAGCATGTGAAACAGCTGGAGAAGGCAGTGTCGGGCAAGGAGCCTCGGTTTGTGCTGCGGGCCCTACGGATGCTGCCTTCCACGTCACGCCGCCTCAACCACTACGTTCTGTACAAGGCCGTGCACGGCTTCTTCACTTCCAACAATGCCACTCGAGACTTCTTGCTACCCTTCCTGGAAGAGGTGAGTGGAGTCAGGCCAGCGCAGGAGTGTGGGCTTGGCTTGAGACACACAGGGACACACACTCCACCCTGGGTAGCTGTGTCCCATCCTGGAGACCTGTCTTGTTACCTGCCACAGCAGAGACATGAAGCAAAGCAGCCCCTCTTAATACTCATCTGCTCTCTAGCAGGGGGACCATCCTTCGGCCCTGTAGGGTCTTTATTCTGAGTCAGAAAAAAAATCTGAGAATTAGGACCCTTCCAACTACATTCATTTCCCACCACTCCCAACATAGGGCCTAGGAGAAGGCTCTACCACCTTTTTGCCTCTGAGGCTTCACCATGGAGGATGTAGAGAATAGTGGTTAAGAGACTTCCCCGGTGGTCCAGTGGTTAAGACTCCTCGCTTCCACTGCAGGGGGTGTAGTTGGATCCATGGACAGGGATTCCACATGCCCTGCAGTGTGGCCCCACCCAAAAGAGAACAGTGGTTAAGAGCACAGGTTTTGGGGGAAGGTTGAATTTTTAATCCCAGCTCTACCATTTCGTGTCTGACCTAACTTGCCTGTGCTTCATTTGATGTATGTGATGAACAGATCTGGGGGCACGTTGTAGGGGAGCTGCTGAGGAAGAAGGGGCAGGCTCTTAGAACAGTGTGTGGCCCAGAGCGCATGTTGATGACGTTAGTTTGCTGGTGGTAGTTGTCTCCATGCCAGGAGAAACCTCTCCTTTCCCTTTCTGATTGTAAACCTCCTCTTATCATCCATGGTACAGTTCAAGCCCTGTCCTTTCTTAAACTTCATTGGCCCTTCAGCTGCCTTCATCTCCCTAAAATTCTGTAAGCTTACAATCTGTTTCATAGACGTAAAGCGCAGAGAACCCCTTGAGGTGGACGGTGAAGACTTTACTCTCTGGGAAAGAGGAGAAGCACCCTCCCCCAGCCCCGCCTGGAGTATTTTTTAACCTGTACATCGCTGAAGTCCCCCACCATGATCGTCTTTTGATCTGTTACACATTATTCCAGTTTTAGTGACTAGATCTGAAAATAAATACTATGTCAATTTCCCCCCAGATTTCTTCATTACCACCAAAAAAAATTTTTTTTGTCTCATTATTCTTTTTTGGCCAAGCCACACAGCTTGCGTAACTCAATTCCCCGACCAGGCATTGAACCCAGGCCACAGCAGTGAAACCTAGAATCCCAGCCACTAGACCACCAGGGAACTCCCTGTCTCATTATTCTTGATCTCATCTTTAGAATTATATCACTTTATTAAACCCTGCCTGACAGAATTTGCAGTGGTTCCAGGTCTGGTGGTTTAATCTCTAGTTAGATTGTAGGCTCTCTGAGGGGTCCTTCCATCAATCTTTCCCCATTCTATTCTATAAGGATGTTATACTCCTGTAACCCTTTTTTGTATTGATTTTATCGCCAGCCTTTTTGACTCCCTTCAGTATTTTTGTATCCCCAGCACCCAGAAAAATCTTGGCACACAGTGGGCACTTAGTAAATAAATCTCTGTTGAAATAATAGTGAGTGCTTAAGAAATTCCTGGTTGATTGATCTGACTGAGCTCTTCCACGGTAACTCATGTCCTCTCCTAGCCCATGGACACAGAAGCCGATTTACAGTTCCGTCCCAGAACAGGAAAAGCTGCATCGGCTCCGCTCCTGCCTGAAGTGGAAGCCTACCTCCAGCTTCTCATGGTCATCTTCCTGATGAACAGCAAGCGCTACAAAGAGGTATCCAAGACCAGAGCGTGTGACTAACGCACCCCAGGCAGTGCGTGGGGTTAGTGGGGGAGATCGCCTCTTGTGTAGAAATAGATCATCATTGGGTCATTCACTGCCCCCCAGACTCTTCCCCAGCATGAGAAAGCACTCATCCGAGGAAGACCCCTCAACTTCTGCTCCTGCTCTGGGAAAGGCCTGCCCGGTCACTCTACCTCTCTGTGGCACAGTCCCCGGATGGTGGATGGTTTAAAAAGAGTAGATTTAGAGGCAGAAAGACCTGGCTTCAAATCCCATTTGTACCTTAGGCAAATTTATTTCTCCCAGCTGTGTCTAAAATAAGACAAACTGCCATTCTTACAAGTTTATCATTAGTATTAAATCAAAATAATACATTTAAAAAATATTTGGCACAATGACCTGCATAAGGTCAGCATTCCCAACGTGTTAATAAATGGCAGCTATTACTGTGGATCTGAAAGACTTCATTGTGGAAACGACTCTTCCAGCACTGCCTCCAGCTGGGGCAGCTGCCCTGGCAGGCTCGGCTTCTTTCCCAGGGGCACTCCCAGGAGGTGACAGTCTTATGCCTCAGTCTTCTGTTTTATTTTTCCCTTGCTTTGCCACTGGTTGGTTTTTGTTTGATTGGTTGCTCTTTAACTATAATTCACCCACTTGAAATTCTAGATTTCGATGGTATTTTTGTATATTCACAAGATTATACAACTGCCCTCCTGTCTAATTCCAGACAAGCTTAATCACTACCCGCCCCCCCCCCCCCCCCGCCGCGCGCAAAGAAAAACACCATACCTGTTAGTAATCACACCTTATTCTCCCCTCACCCCAGCCCAGTAATCTATTAATACCTTGTGTCCCATGGATAATATGTGCCTTTTGTGTCTGACTTCTTTCTGTAGCTTAGTGTTTTCTAGGTTTATCCATGTCGTAGTGTGTATCTGTAGTCTGTTCCTTTTTATGGATGAGTAATATTTCATCACATGGATATACCACCTTCTGTTTAACCATTGATTGGATGTTAAGCACTTGGGCCAGTCCCACTTACTGGTTATTGTGAAAAACGCTGATCTAAACATTCGTGTGCAAGCTTTTATGTGAACATGTGTTTCCAGTTCTCTCGGGCGTGTGCCTAGGAGGGGAGTCTCAGGCCCGCGTGATGGCTCCGCGCTTGACTCTCTGAAGCTCTGCTGCTTGGCTTCTTCTGTCTCCCTCCCCAGGCACAGAAGGTTTCTGATGATCTGATGCAGAAGATCAGCACTCAGAACCGCCGGGCCTTGGACCTTGTGGCTGCCAAGTGTTACTATTATCACGCCCGGGTCTATGAGTTCCTGGATAAGCTGGATGTGGTGCGCAGGTACCAGTGGCCAGGGGTCTAGCTTGCGGCCCTTGGGGTCAGCAGCATGGTCAGGCACTTCACAGAGCTGTGGACTTGCAGAGGGCCGAGGCCTGGGAGACGTCGAGGGCCCAGCAGGAAGTGGGGGTGGCGGTTAACATACCCTGAGCTGTGGGAGGGCTTGAGAGGCTGAGACAGAGATGACACTGGCCTGTTGAGTCCTGTCCCCCAGGCTCCTCCTTTCACCACATGTCAAGGGAGGACTCTTGAGTGGGTCAGAGGTAGGAGGGCAGTATGGCTGAGTCCCTTTGTTTGCTGAAACTACCACAGCATTGTTAATTGTTAATTTATACTCCAGTATAAAAATAAAAGTTTTTTTTTTAAAAAAAGGTACAAGGACAGGCTGGAAAACCTTTTACTACTCTGCTTGGAACCTGCTGTGGCTCCCCACTCCCCTCAGGGAAAAGCCAGAGCCCTCCTGATAAAAGCTTTTGAGGCCTCATAGGGTCTGGGCCCCCTGCTCCCCGACGCCTCGCTCTTGCACGGGCGCGCACTTCCCTTGGCTGAGAGAGCCCTCCTCCCTGCATCCTTCAAGCCTGTGGTTAACGGTTACCTTCTCAGTGAGTCCTGCCCCGACCGGGCTGCTTAAAGCCGCAGCTCCCTCCCGTCCTCCTGCGCCCCTGTCGCAGGTACCCTGGTTCCTGCATCACCCCCCACCCCCACCTTTTGTCACGCCTCCCGGTACGCTCACTCATCGAGAGAGAGAGTGCAGGTTCTCTGAGCCGAGTTCCATCCTCTCTGCGCCCAGACTGGTGCTTTACTAGTTGGCTATTCAGAGTTGTTATTTGAGGCCTTTGGCCTCATTTCTTTCCTCCTGGAAGCTTCCTGCACGCTCGGCTCCGGACCGCCACGCTGCGGCACGATGCGGACGGGCAGGCCACGCTGCTGAACCTCCTGCTGCGCAACTACCTGCACTACAGCCTGTACGACCAGGCCGAGAAGCTGGTGTCCAAGTCTGTGTTCCCCGAGCAGGCCAACAACAACGAGTGGGCGAGGTACCTCTACTACACAGGTGAGCGGGGCCCGCCCCGGCCGGGAGGGCTCTCAGGCTCGCTCGGCACAGATTGGCTAAGCATGTGGTGCCCGTGGGGCCTGAGAGGCGCTCTGGTTTGTGGGGGACCAGGGCTTGGATAATGCCCTCATCTTGATCAGCTCTCCTCTTCTCCCACCCAGGGCGCATCAAAGCCATCCAGCTGGAGTACTCAGAGGCCCGAAGAACAATGACCAACGCCCTCCGGAAGGCCCCTCAGCACACAGCTGTCGGCTTCAAACAGACGGTGAGCAGCTGCTTTCCCTCCCCTTTGACCCCCTTACTCACCTGATACCACGTTAGTGCCGTTTCCCCATCTGAGGAGCCAGGAAGGCATCCTTACTTAGTCTTCTTACCCTGAAGGTGGCATCACATGTCTGTTTCCACATAATGTTGTTCAGGGCACCTTAGGCAGACACTGCCTGCACCTCTGGCAGTATATATCCCCAGTCTTCTCCCTGGTAGGTAGGTTTAAAATATTCCTGACTCCCCAGAAGCCCCTATATCCTTTCATGCAAGGGTCTGGTTTGTGTTGATAAGCTCTGGACTCTTTACCTGGTCCCTCAGGTGCCCTTTGGGAGCAGTGGTGTCTGTGGCCAGGGAACCCAGGGCCCTCCTCAAGGTGGCCGACTCAGGTGGAGGTAAACCTTGGCCATGTCAGAGCTGTCAGTCCCCAGGTGTATTTCTTGAGTGCCGACCTTGATACTGGGCACTGCGAGGGATAGAAAAGAAGGATCAGAAATGCTGTTTGCACTCAAAGAGATGGACACAGACGCTTGAAGCAGAGTGGCTTGAGGGCTGTGTGAAATGGCAGAGCCTCGCAGCCAGGGTTAGGACCCAGCTTCCCAGCTAGAGATGACTGTTCCTGCACTCACACCCAGACGCCTCCCAGCCCTTGAAAGAGCAGGAGGAGCGTGTCCACTGAGGAGCTCAGTGTGGTAGGAGGTTTGGTTTGCTTCAGTTCAGCAGTTCAGAGGAAGGCAAATTCAGTTGTGGTAAAATAAAGGAATCTTTAAACAGTTATGTTTGATTGGTTTTTGAAAGATGGGTAGAATTTTCCTAGAAAGGGGTGGTTTTTCAGACACATAAGGTACATTGCAGAATGTAAGGTTGCTTACAATGTAGGACACACACTAAACCTTCTTCTAAAACAGTAAAAATGCACATAATTGACATACAGGCTGTGTTGCACACCAGGGGGAGGTGTCATGGGATAAAGCGGTATTTTCAAACCAGAGTATGCTGTGGATGGATAAGGTTTCAGAGTTTTCTGTGGTAGACCCAGGTTGCAGGAAGGAGCAGAGGGAGCTGGAGTGAGGTCTTGCCCATGTACTGTTGGTGAAGGAGCCAGGAAAGAGGTGGAAGGGCTGCTCGAGAGGTGAAGAAGCAGAGTTGGGGGAACTTCCTACCCAGAGAGACTGAAGCAGATAGGTGATGAGCCAAGGCCTGGGAAGAGGTAGGAGGAATGGGCTAGAGAGCCCAAGTGGAGAGCCAGCTTTAAGTAAAAATGGTGGGGTATAGGTGGGGGTGAGAATGGTTAGAAACATACGTGGAATTCAACATGGCATCTAAAGCAGAGCACGCTGAAAGTGTACCATCCGTGATAGTTCCACGTTCTTGCCTTGGGGGATCTCATTTGCTTTCACGGCTTAGCTCTCACCTCCACAATGTGTCACCAAAGTCCATTAATCTGTCTTAATCTGCCCGGGTTGCTATAACAAGACTGGCTGGCTTAAACAGTAGAAATTTATTTTGTCCTATTTCTGGAGGTGAAAAGTCCAAAATGATGTCAGTGTGGTTGGGTTGTTCTGGGGGATTCTCTTTTGTTTGGAGTTGGCCATCTTCTGATGTCTCCAAATGGTCTTCCTACCTTGCTTATCTGTATCTCTAATTCTTCTTGTAAGGACCCCAATCATAATTGGATTAGGACCCATTCACATGACTTCATATTCCCTTCATAACCTCTTTAAAGATTCTAGCTCCAAAACCAGTCACATTCTGGGGTACTCAGGGGTTGGGGCTTCACCATAAAAATCTGGGGGTTCACAGTTCAGCCCATAATACAAGTTTTGAGCCCTCTCACAAACCCAGACCTACAAAGCCCACTTCTCAGCACACATCTCCATTAAGATACTTGCTGGCTCCTCACATTGACCTTGTCCAGACCCGCCTGTGTGCCATTTACAGTCCTTCTTGCTGTCCTGGTCTGCATAGAAGCCGTGGGTCACCTTGGACGTGTCCCCACCTTCCCCATCACTGAGTCGTCTATTGATTTGCCTGACGGCTTTGGTAGTCGTCTCCTCTCTGATGTTGCCCATGCCTTTGTTCAAGCCACCGACACTGCTGGTCACCATCCTCCCCTCCACCAGCCCAGCTTCCCCTGCCTGACTCAGTGGAGGTCCTGGCTGGTCTGCCTGGCCCAGGAAGCTTGCATTTTTCCCATTTCCTGCCCAGTGAAGTGTTGTGAGTCTTGTGGATCGGGTGGTTCAGGTAGTGTTATTGTTATTACACCCATTTTAGGGAGAAGGAATCCAGAGACTCGACTTTTCTAGCTAACGTGTAAAGACTGGCATTCTGTCTCCGAGCTCAGAACTCAGCCTGGCACTCAGAACTGGGCATCCCGAGACATGCCCCAGGCATCTCTCCTGACAGCCTCCCCACCCCCTCAAGTACAGGTTGGCCTCTTCTCCAACCTGTCCCCTGGGCTGAGACATCCTCCCTCCTTTTTCTGCTTCATCAGAATCCTCAAGGTGTGGGACTTCCCTCATGATCCAGTGGTTAAGACTCCGCGCTCCCAGTGCAGGGGGCACAGGTTCTGTCCCTGGTCAGGGAACTAAGATCCTGCATGCTGTAAGGTGTGGCCAAAAAAATACGAGTCTGCCATTGCTTAAAAGAATCCTCAGGGCTCATGTTAATTTCTGCCATCACCATGGCTTTCCCGTCACTCATGGAGTACGCAGAGGGACAAGGTAGCAGCGAGTGAGGGGACCACCCCGGAAGGCTGGACCCTCCTTGCCCAGGTGTGGGCACCATCACCCACACCCGTTTTTAACCCCTCACCTCCTTTGTGACACTTGCTCACCGGTGGTTTAGCTGTCTGTGCTCCTGTCCCTCCTGCTTGTGGGGGAAGTTGCCCCCTCCTCCCACAGTCCCTTGCAGGGTGCTGCATCAGGAGGAGGGGCCCTGTTTGCCAGGCAACCCTGTCCATCATACCCAGCTCATTCACTGAGGCTCTGCAGGCCCTTTCCTCTGCTTCTTCCTCTGCCCAGATGACTAGTTTATATATGGTGCACCTCCCTAACCAGCATCTTAGGCTGACTTGCATCCCCTCCCCAAGGTCTCTGGGCCCTGCTTCCTCACCGGTTCTGAGCCATAGAACCTGCCCAATCCAGCCTGTAATTTGGAGCTTTGTCCTTTTGGAGCATTGTGCACTGCCTGGCCAAGTGAAATGAAGCTGAGGACCCGGTGTAGTCAAAGGGTCAGATGCTCCCAGGGCCTGACTCCCTAGGCAGAGCTTCGGTTCCACATGCAGCACAGCTTGAGCGATTTTTCCTTCTCCGTGGGCCCAGTCCAGTGACACCCTCCTCCTCTTGCGGTGTGTCTGCCTGAGTTGAAGCCCCGTTTTGTCCTCTCCTCCCACCCTGCGGGGCTCCTTGCCCACTGCCTTCTGTGTCACACTCTGCCAGGTGCACAAGCTTCTGATTGTGGTGGAGTTGTTGCTGGGGGAGATCCCAGACCGGCTGCAGTTCCGTCAACCATCCCTCAAGCGCTCACTCATGCCCTACTTCCTTCTGACCCAGGGTAAGGCCGGTGCCCTCCCAGAGCGTGCCGCCCCCCCGGCACTGTGTCCCCTCTGGTGTGTGCGCCACGTGCAGCATCTGACCCACTCCTCTCCCCACCACAGCTGTCAGGACAGGAAACCTAGCCAAGTTCAACCAGGTCCTGGATCAGTTTGGGGAGAAGTTCCAAGCAGATGGGACCTACACCCTCATCATCCGACTGCGGCACAACGTCATCAAGACAGGTGTGGGTCGGGCTTGAGAATCTACCTTCCAGGGTAGGAGACGCAGGTTCAATTCCTGGTCAGGGAACAAAGGTCCCACGTGCTGCGGGGCATCTAAGCCCACACACCGCAGTGAGAGGCCCTTGTGCTGTAACGAAGACCCAGTACAGCCAAACTAGAAAAAAAAAAAGGTAACCTGATCACTTAAAAAAAAAAGACAAGTGTGGATCAGGGTCTGAGGGAGCCCTGGAAGAGCAGGACTGGGACTTGGCTTCTCCAGGGGCTGGGACAACGCTGTGGCTGTCCGGGCGGGTGCAGGGTCTGTGCCCACCCCGACCTTCCCGTGGCCCCTCCTCCCAGGCGTGCGCATGATCAGCCTCTCCTATTCCCGCATCTCCTTGGCGGACATCGCCCAGAAGCTGCAGCTGGATAGCCCAGAGGATGCAGAGTTCATTGTTGCCAAGGTGGGCCTGGTTCAGGGACCACAGATGGGAGGAGGTTGATGGCTAAAGTGGTGGCATGCCCATCTTACAGTGAAGCCAGGAAGTTGCCAGAGAGAGAGTGTGTGTGTGCACGAATGAATGTAGGAGAGAGCAGGGAGGACAAAGAGATGAGACGGGATGTTCTCAGACTTAGAAGATGGACTTTCTGGTGACTTTTCCTCCCTTTGGGGCCTGCAGGCCATTCGAGATGGCGTCATTGAGGCTAGCATCAACCACGAGAAGGGCTACGTCCAGTCCAAGGAGATGATTGACATCTATTCCACCCGCGAGCCCCAGTTAGCCTTCCACCAGCGCATCTCCTTCTGCCTGGATATTCACAACATGTCTGTCAAGGTGAGGGGCCCCGAGCTGCAGAGACAGCGGGGCAACAGCACGCTGCCACACCCACAAGTTCCTAGAGAAGACCGGCTTGGTTTGAGGCCTGGCTCCCAGTCTCTAAAGCACTGGGGGTCCAGAAGGGGCAGAGGACTTGGCTTGTGGGACCCCAACGCCTCTGTGCACTTAAAGGGTCTGGTTGCCAGGGAGGATCAGACTGGGGTTTAGAGTGCACGGTGCCAGATTTGGTTCCAAATTTGAGTCGTTTACCTTCTCTGAGTCTCTGTGTCTCCAACTGTGAGACTGATAGTGAGGTATTACCTGCCCTGCCTACTTCACAGGGTTGTCGAGATTGGATGAAATCACTGTCTTGGGGCCCTTAGCAAAGTCTGAATTCTGTAAAGGGTAGGACCACCATCTTGGTCTACAAAAGGCTCCTAAGCCCTTTATGTTAGGTGCTGGTATTGTTGGGCACCAACGCTTTTCCTGGTCTCTCCCCCCAGGAAACCAGGGATATCACTTGGTCTGAAGTCAGGCAAACGCTGTGCATGAAAGACCCTTTGTGGTTGGTCCCCGTGTCTCTAGCCTCACTCCCCAGGACCGCTCCCGTCAGCCCCTCCCGCCTGCTCCCCTCCTCCCAGCTGGCCCCACTGAACCCCAGCCTAACTGTCCCACACCTTGAATGGCTCTGCCTGGAATGCCCTTCTTTCACTCCCATAGACCGTCCATTCCTCCTCCTCACTGCCAGTCTGCCCCCTGCCTGACTGAGAGGGTCAGGCGTTTATCCCTCAGGATTTTCTTCTTTAGTGTTTATCACGTGGTGTCATGGGTCACCATGCCTAGCTCCCCCACCAGACTAAACTGAGGCGTGTCACCTGTCTGGTACATTTCCTGGTGCCCAGGTGCCTGCCTCCTCTTCACTCACTCCTCTCTCCATTGTGCTTCAGGCCATGAGGTTTCCTCCCAAATCCTACAACAAGGACTTGGAGTCTGCAGAGGTAAGCTGCTTTCTGCTCTGGGTGGAAGCGGGAGTTTCTGGAAAGCCTGGGCGGGTCGGGCTGGGTGCAGACCAAGTGAGTGCCTGGCTGGTCCTCAGCAGCCTGGGTGGGTCGGGCTGGGTGCAGACCACAAGCCTCCGGCTGGTCTTCAGTCCCCCCTCCCCCGGCCCTTTTCCCCAGGAGCGGCGAGAGCGGGAGCAGCAGGACTTAGAGTTTGCCAAGGAGATGGCAGAAGATGACGACGACAGCTTCCCTTGAGCTGGGGGGCTGGGGAGGGGTGGGGTGAGTGGGGACTGGCTCTGTCTTTCCCCCATGGGGGTCCCCTGCCCAGGGAACTGGCTCCTCTTCCCACATGGGGCACACAGACTGCTATGTGCAGGGGGTGAGGGGTGCAGGGAGCCGGTCACCCTACCTCATCCCAGGGCCCCTCCTCAGTGGTGACTTGGCACACGGGGGCAGGCGGGCGGGCGGGCAGCCTCCCCAGGGCAGGGTCCTGGCTAGTGGTGTGGGCCACACGATGGGAGGGACTAGCCCTGTGCTCTCCTCCAGGGAGTAGGGCACCGGGACTGGGACATGTGTTAGGTTGTATGTTTTTTGAAGCTTCAATTATGATTTTTAAAGAATAAAAAGTTCTCCAAAGCTCCTTGTGTATCAGTTACTCTATTTTGCCCTCACAGGTACAGTGTTAACAGGCCCAGATTTTTCTCCTGGCCTGGGAGTGCCAGCCCCAGGCATGATCTGAGGACCTGGTGCAGCTGTAGATGAGGCGGCGGCCAGGGGCTGGGTGGAGAGACTCTGATCTGGGGTCAGAAGGGCCTGGGTTTGCTCTTTTGTATCTAACTGGCTCTCAAATAATTGGGCAACTCTCTAAACCTCTCAGGCTCCTTTGCCAGATCTGTCAAATAAATGATTATACTCAGTGACCTCCTGGCTCTAAAATTAGGAATCTAGGCTTCCAATGGATCAAACAAAATGTGAGAGTGTGGCCCTCAGCTGAGATTCAATGAGGAGAGAAGGGTCTCCAGCAAGGCTGCACAATGTTGGGAGCAGGGTCCTGCCCAGCTGGCCCTTGAGGAGGGGGGGGGGGATGGGCTCCTCCCTGAGAGCAGGGAGGAGTCAGGCACGAGGGGGCTCCCTGTAGCCCCCCACCCACCTCCACCAGCAGTATATGGCAAGAAAATGGACCTGCCTGGCTCACCAAGTCTTCAGCCTCAGCCAGTGATGCACCCCTCGTTGGGCATTTGCATTATTCGTGTTCTCGGGCTGGCACCTGGGGTGTACATCCTGCCAGCTCTGTTATCTGAATGTCGCCTCATGGGCTTCTCCCTCTCAGCTGCATTCCCTCTCTTATCGGGCTCTTGCTCTCCACCTTGCTGATTTCTTTAATTTTCTTTTTTTATATATATTTATTTGGCTGTACTGGGCTTCCCAGGTGGCGCTAGTGGTAAAGAACCCATCTGCTAATGCAGGTTAGACATAAGATAGGCCAGTTCGATCCCTGGGTCTGGAAGATCTGGAGAAGGGAATGGCAATCCGCTCCAGTATTCTTGCCTGGAGAACTCCACGGACAGGAACCTGGCGGGCTACATACAGTTCATGGGGCCACACAGAGTCAGACGCGACTGAAGCAACTTAGCACAGCGCTGGTCTCACTTGCTGCACACGGGATCTTCAGTCTTCACTGCAGCTGTAGGATCTCTTTTTAATTGCAGCATGTGGGATCTTTAGTCTCAGCATGCCAACTCTTAGTTGTGGCCTGTGGGACCTAGTTCCCTGACCAGAGATCAAACCCAGGCCCCCTGCACTGGGAGTGAGAAGTCTAAGCCACTGGACCACCAGGGAAGTCCCTCCAGCTTGCTGATTTCTACACATCTTCCAGACATCCTGCCTCTTAGCGATTCAACTCCCCAGCTTCTGAACCACCACTTACTGGTAATGGAATTCTTCTCTTAGGAGGTTGTAGGAAAGCCTTATCTTTCCAACTAGATTGCAGATTCTTAGAGAACTTGAGGCTTATCTGTCCCTCCAGGACTGCCCAGTGCCTAGCACACTGAGTTCAATAAAGTCTTGTTTGTTAGGCAAGGTGCACTGTACACTCCCAGGTGGCGGCAGTGGTAAAGAAACTGTCAGCCAGTGCAGGAGACGAGAAACGCAGGCTCACGCCCTGGGTCAGAAAGATCCCCTCGAGAAGGGCATGGCAACCCACTCCAGTATTCTTGCCTGACAGAGGAACCTGGCAGGCTACAGTCCAAACAATAGGGTCCCAGAGAGTCGGACATGACTGAAGCAACTTAGCATGCATGCACTGCATTTTCATCTGTGGATAGCCCTAATTCCATCAAAGGCATGTTTTAGACTGGCCTTGCCTTAGTTCCTTGCATCCAAACTTTATTTTCTTTTTTAAGGATTCTATCTTTTCCCCATTTTATAGGCCAATTCAAAAAATCGAATAGATCTTTAATTCCCTTCCAGGAAGGATGAGCACTGCCTCCACGCCCTTCCAGGGTGTGAGGACAGGCTTAGGCGGGATGTGAACCCTGGCCGGTGTGATTCCAAGTTGGGGTCCCATTCTGTAGGGTGTGTGCAGCCTTCCAGTTTCAGTCTGTGGCTCTGTTTTCTTGTTGGTTGGTTGGTTTTTGTCCTCACATCGCTGTCCTTCTGGCCCTTGACCACTTTGCCTGACCTTTAAAATGACTTTCTGGGGCTCTCCTGGTGGCTCAGTGGTAAAGAATCCGCCTACCAATGCAGGAGACACGGGTTCTATCCCTCATCTGGAAAGATCCCACATGCTGCAGAGCAGCTAAGCCCATGTGCCACAACTCCTGAGGCTTCACCCCAGGGCTCAGAGCCCCAACTACTGAAGCCCACACGCCCTGGAGCCCGCGTTTCACAAGAGAAGCCACCATAATAAGAAGCCCTTGCAACGCAGCTAGAGAGTAGCCCCTGCTCACCACAACTAGAGAAAAGCCCACACGGCGCGAAGATCCAGCACAGCCAAAAATAAGTAAAATGACTATTTCTGAGTGTGTGATAATTAGTTGTAATTATTATTATTCAAAATGACAAATCTTGAAGTCACCACCAGCCCAAAGTGCCCCAGACCCTTTCCTGGTTGGTAATGGATCAGGGTGTATCAATCCTGTTCACAGAGTTGGAGTTATTTGTCATGATTTCCTGGTTCTCGCCCACCTTGAGTCTATGGACCATTTTTCTGTCTGCTCAGTATCTGGAAATTTCTTGTAATTCATCCTCATTGGCTTGGCTTTCTTTTCCTGGAGAAATTCAGTGTTATTTTTATGCTTGGAGAGCTCACTGTGTTCTCTACCTTCCAGTCTTGTTTTTTAGTTAGAAAACTACAGAGAAGTACAAAGAATAACATGACATAAGTTTAAAGCCCATCTTTCCCTCAAGACAGCCACTCTGCTAAAATCAGTACGTAGCCTTCCAGTTTACACTTTTGTACTTTTACTACAACATACAGTATTGTCTTTTTAAGTCTTTGCAAATGATGTATCACCTGAAAGTAAGTTCCTTTCACTCAATATGGGTTTTGAGGTCTAATCATATTTAAACCCACACCCAGCACCATTCCAAGGACTAAGAATACAACTGAATAAAACAAACTCCTCTCCTCGTAGGTTTTTATTCTGGAAGGGTGGGGAGGCACAGGTGGTATGAATGGGCCACAATGTATTAATTTATTGGTGGCCATTGGCTTACTGTTACAGACAACATTCCAGAGGACATTTCTGTGTCCCTGTGTGCCTGTGTTCTGTGTACATACTTTGCAAACTTCTCTTAAAGGGTCTGACAGTACGTTTTTCAGACTTGTGAGCCATGTCCGCAGTCACAACTATTCACTTCTGCCCTGCTCGAAAGGGGACTTACATAAGCAATATGTAAACAAATTATCTCTTTTTGGCTGTGCTGGGTCTTCAGTGCTGTGAGTGGGCTTGCTCTAGCTGCAGCGAGCAGGGGCTGCTCTCCAGTCGCGGGGCAGAGGCTTCTCGTTGCAGTGGCTACTCTCGTCTTGGAGTACAAGCTCTAGGTGTATAGGCTTCAGTAGCTGCAGTGTGTGGGTTCAGTAGCTGTTGCGTGTGGGCTCTAGAGCACAGACTCAGTAGTTGTGGCATCCAGGCTTAATTGCCCTGCGACCTGTGGGATCTTCCCAGTCCGGTGATTGAATCCATGTTCCCTGCATTGGCAAGCAGATTCTTAATCCTTGGACCACCAGGGAGGTCCTAAACAAATTATTTATGAACACTGGCCTTGTGTGATTTTTACATGTGATAAAATATTCTTTTGATTTTTTTTCCAGCCATTAAAAAAAATGTAACACTCCTTCTCAACTTGGGGTGTACATATCTCGGCCCACAGGCCAAGTCTGCAGCAAAGGCATTACTCCAGAGCCTGTATAAAGACATTCTGGGGCTTCCCTGGCAGTCCAGTGGTTAGGACTCAGTGCATCCACTTCTGGGGCAGAGGTTTGATCCCTAGTCGGGGAACAAAGATCCCCATGTGGTGCATGTTGTGGCCAAAAATGAAAGGGGGGGGGGGGAAGTGCTCCAAACCCAGTTTCAGATGAAAACAGGAAGTGTGAGTGGAAGCTATCCACCCGCTCCAGCCATTGAGAAATAACTAGGAAAGCCTTGAGGAAGCTGGAAGGATGAATAACAGCCAGGGGTCTCTGGGGCCAGGCCCTATGAGAGATCGTTTCAGTCTGCCTCAGCCCACATGTATCAGAACCAGTAACTTTCTCTCTGCCTGGTCTTTATTCTCTCATGGGTGGGGCTGAAACCTGGACTGACCAGTCATCCAAGAAATACATCTTTCTGAACAGGAAGACAGTGTAATAAGAATGACGGGGGCTCGGGAAGGGTGGCCACAAATCCTGCCTGGCTCTGCCCCCAATTTGTTCTATGATCTTGGACCTTTCCCTTCTCTGAGGCCAACCCTTGTCTATAATGGAGATTATGCACACTCGGTTGATAGGATGAAAGACGAAAGTGTAACGGAAGGTGCCTGGCATATAAGAGGTGCCCTGTAATTTTCAGCCAGCATTCACCCAGATTCTCTCCATATGGGATGGAGGCCAGAACACCTCCGTGGCCAGACAGTCCCACTTCCTCTGAAAACAGCCCACCCCATCCTTCAACACCTCAGGTGGTTAGAACACTCTCTTCTTGAGCTGAAAATTGACTGGCCATGGCTTCCACTCCCTAGCCCACTTCAGGTCCCTGAAACCACGCAACAACCCT